CTGAATAAGACATGCCTATAGATTAATCCAGTTTGGGGTGCTTGATTGTTCAATTAAATTAGATGCAGAATAGGAAAAAGCAAACTGAATTATTGTGCCTTTACCCATCTGTACCACTCAGCCATCCCACTTAAAGGAGCAGAGAATCGTGCATGGAAAAAGAAGCATTTTTCTTGATGGTGGACCCTCATCCATAGAGAAAAAGGGATATCCCTTGTCACTGAATTTTTGCTCTGGATTAGTTAACCTGGCTTCTACAGGGTCAGAGCTAAACTACAGGGGTGCTCACAGCAGGTGTGAAATTGCTAAATCCTCCCTCCTCCCAGTCCACTCGCTTCATTACCTTCGCTGAAAAGTCATTGCAACTAAAGAGCCTTTTTGTCCTGGCCATTTTCCAGTTGGTCATATTTGCTGGTAAAGAGGTGGTAGCTGGGATGGTTCCCCTTCTGGCTGTCTCTTGCTTCGCTGCCCCACTCAAGGCCTTCCTTTCTGGTGGTAACAGCCTTCTGCAAGAATACTTGCCACTCTTTTTGCAGTATTGCTACAGGCCTATCTGTTAAATCTTAAATACTAATGAATCATTAAAAAGGGTATTAACATATTTGCTGGCCCTTTATGTGTGTCTTACTCTTCAGAGTTTTACAGCAATTTCTATTAAAAACCTCATTACAGAGATTATTGTGACATGCTTTGAAACAGCAACATTCATTACATATTATCTATGTATTGGAATTTGGGAAATTAATGCACCAGGAAATGAAATGACTCACCCAGGGTCTCTGAAGATGTATGTTCAATTCATGATTAAAATCCAAGCTTTAGATCTGCATTGTGTTTGCTGCACAATCTTTTTTGCCGTTTCTCTTTTTTTCTTTAAACCACATCAGTTTTTCGTTTAGATGGAAAATTCCATTGTGCTGCTTTTGTTGTCAAACAATAACTGGCATTTAGCCAATTATTTTAGTTAAATGTGGCTTGTCTGTGGGCATTCCCTCCCTCTACTTGGGGGTTCAAAGCACGGAGAGAAAATGGGATAACTGGGAAAGAAGAGCCAGGCTGTAGGGAAGGATGGGCAGAGAAATGGAGAGGCAGAGACCAAAGGACTGCTCAGGTGATGGAGTGACTGTGAGATGTGCTGCTGATGTTGTGAGCCTTGCATCCACAAATGATCAGTGTGACGTGGATTTTCCAGCCTTTCAGTTTGGGTGGGGTAGGGAGAAAAGAGGGTTAGAGGTAAGGGAGGAATGAAGAGAGGCTGTGAGGCAGCTGCACCTTGGGTTTCTCCATCCATTACCTGCTCTGGTGTGTCCACTGCCCAGGTGGGTAGTGTGGAGATGGTAGATATTTATTTTCACAGGCTACATCTTCTGTAAAAATATGATTCTTTATGTGTCTGCTTCCAAATTGTATGAGTGGAATCAACTCTCACAGTGCCTACAGCTTTCTGATTTGTGTCTTGCAGACGTGTTGCCCTTGTCTCTCCAGGGGACTTGTACTGGTGTCCAGAGGGGACTTCAATTGCAGCCTTTAGTGGGGAGACCCAGCAATGCCCTGGCTACAGGGTATTTTTTTAGCAGGTATGATGAGGGATCCTCTCCTTGGGGCCAGCTGCCCAAGAATTCTTGACATTTTCAGTAATTTTTTCTGTTGCAGAGCAAATAAATGTCCTTAGACATCAACATATCATCAATACTTAGTCATCATAAGGAGTTAGAAATTTATTTCTTAACTTCTGTTTTCCTTTCAGTGCCAGATGGAGAGAAATGAACAAGAAATTCAGAGCAATAAAATTGCAATTTTCTACATAGACAGATAAGTGAAGAATAATTTTCATTTAAGGGAATATGTCTTCATTTTGGAGATGTCCTGTATGTATCTTAGCTTTGCTTTGAGAAAACAGATGTGTGAAAAATTTCATTTGTAATAATAATCGTAAAGAAATTAACATATGCTTATATTTTTCATTCCACTTTAGATTTTGTGGAACACCACTCATCTGTAAAGTACTATATGCGCATGTATTATTGCATAAAGAATATTATTCAGGTTAGAGATGTACTTTCTTTCTTTTTTTTTTTTTTTTGCCTCTTCTGCAACTACAGTATGAGAACTGCTAGCCAGAAGGTTGAAGATTTAAAGATGGGATCCATATAGTTCCAGTGTAGCAGATTTAAAGGCTGTAATGCCACAGAACATTCAGGAATCTGACCAATTTAACTCATAAATCCTTTGAAATACAAAATCTGCAGTATAGTATCTGAAACTTCCAGTTTCCTGCTTTTCTTATCAGTAATGCTTCTGTGTTTCCTGAGACAAGCTAAATATAAGTTAATCTTTTGATCTGTTTGAAAAGATAACTTTGTCATGCAAATAAAATAAGACTCAGTCTCCAGTTCAATTCTCTTCCATTTAGATTTTTATGCTGAGCATCAGAGGGACCACTGACTATCTAGGTGTACCTTGTGAATCCAGATTTTGGATTGTCCATGAAATTTCAATGGCTCAATTAAAATGTAAGTAAGTAATACTCTTAGGAAATAGAAAGCTACTCAAAAAATTTGTGTCCTGTCCCAGACAGGACAGGACAGGTCCAAGACAAGAAAGTCTTGTGTCCAAGACTTTCTTAATCCTCAAAGCCTGCACTTCTGTGAAGTTCCAGTACTTGAGGAAATTCCCAAAATATTGAAGTAACTGCAATAAAAACAATACACAAATGAAGAAACAAAGTCAGTAACAATTTTAATGAGGGGGTGGATGTGTTAAAAATAATTTGGAAAATTAAGCTCAGGCTTTTAACAAAATATTTTGCATAAAATATTTTTCTGTACTTAAACAATTTTTTTTATTTGTAACATATCTAGTGAATCTGTGAGTGTGGTGAGGCACAGGAGTAGTTCTCCCTGAAAAGTTGTGGATGTCCCATCCCTGTAAACATTCAAAGACAGGTTCGATGGGGCTCTAAGCAACCTGGTCTATTGGAAGGTGTCCCTGCCCATGGCAAGTGGATCGGAACTAGATGGTCTTTAAGGTCCCTTCCAGCCCAAACCATTGTATGATTCTGTGATTCTATGGTTCCATTAATTCAAAGTATACCACTTCCTCATAAAACAAAACCCCAGTCCTGTTTAGAGGAAGAGAGTACCTGCAACAATTTAATTTACCTGCAACAGTGAACATGATTTCCCACACAGGGGAAAATAGAAAATCACTAGAAAAAGCAAATAAAATCACAACGAAAGAAAAAGGAAAAAAAAAAATCAAGGTTTATTGACATCTCACACTGAAATTCAGATTTCTTCTTCCTCCCAGGGTTGCTCTCTGTAAGAAGAAAATTTTTAAAATACTTGAAATTTCTGTGAAAATTGTTTCAGATAACAGAAAGAAAATAATCATGTCAGCTTAAGAGATTGAGAAGAGTATAAGTTTTTTTTTCTAAATTTTGACAAGAAGACACATTACTAATAATGTATTTATATAAGTATATTAACTTTTATTTATTTCTAAAAATAAGTAAATTCAGGTACTACAGCTTTTTGAGTTAAAAAGTTGTATAGAGTAGAATTTTCTTGTTCATCATTTGGTGGATTCTGTTTGTTGGTAAGGTGAAGTAGAAATAAGTGCCCCTGTAAGAATGTGAAATTACAGTGGCAAAAGGGAATAATTGGAAAAATTGAAAATCATAGAGTCATTTAGGTTGGAAAAGAACTGTATGTTGTATCATCCTAAAAGATGCCTAGTGTTATACAGATACATGTATTCACATTCTGATTCCAGTCAGGTTGTTGCATTGTGGAAGGTGTTTTGAGCAGCTGTGGTGATGAGTCCTTCTCTAGCTTGTGTAGGCTATTATTCACCTGAAATATTAACTTCTGTTGTCAGCTTTTGTTCAAATTGCACTTATTTATTCATTAGAGAATTTTAATGGGTTGATTCAAGCTTACTTTTGACTTCAAATTAGTCATATTATTCCAATTTCAAGCAGCTCCATGAAAATGTGGTTTGCCGAAGTGCAAAAATACTTGCAGCTGTCCCAGGAAAAATCCATTAAAAATGTAAGAGTGAGGCTTGTTTTGACAAATTTCAACATGAGTCATGAATACTAAGGATTCTTACACCTTTGAACATGAATTTTCAAGCTGCATAATTTTGATCCCAAAATAATGCCTCATGACATATTATCACAAATAAATCCTCAGACCTTAAGGTGTTACTTTTTATAACTAGTCACCGACTTATGACCTATAGAAACTGTCTTATCTTCTCTTTAGATGTTTTTAATCCCTGAATAATAGATAAAGGTTGAACTGTGGTGTCTGAAAAAAACCAGTTCATTTTGGATACATAGCATGGAAAAAATCTGTTTTTTTCTGGTGATAAGCCCTGAAGACCCATGCTTCATCAGTTATTATAGTATCCAAGCATATTGCAATAGATTCATTGGTAATGAAAACTTTATTCTGAGATTGAATTTGGTGGAAATTTAGACAACTTCTGATGCAACTGCACTGCATCAGAACTCCAACTTGGTGTTTCTCAGAATGTGAAAGTAAAAAGCACAAGGTGTTTTTCATATTCCAAAAGTGAAAATATCCTGTTAGAGGGGCACTAGATGTACAGAGGTTGAATAAAATCATGTCACACTGTAGTCACTGGTTCCATGTTCTTTGAAAGGGACTACACAGTTCTTTTTATTATTCGCTTGCAGCTTTGTGGAAGTAAGGTTGCTTTCTTATTCTTAGTTAGCATCTTTTGGTTTTTTATCGTATCACAATAGATATAATCAAAATTCACTAGTGGGGCTTGGATAAATTTTAACACTTCAGCGACATTCACAAATTAAATGTAATAATAATTTGTAGGTTTTGGGGTTTTTTTCAGCAAACTTTTTTTTGCAGTGCTTTGCTTGTAGTGCTACCAAATTTTTTTCTGAGTTTCTCTATGAATTTAATTTTCAGTTATGTTAATACTGAAACTGAATTTCTGTGTGTGCTTTAGCCAACATGGAAGCATAGTTTGCAGATTCATCTGCTAAGCTTCTGAGAAAGTGAAAATGCAGTGCATATATCCAAAAAAAAAAAAAAAGCCGTGATAATCCAGACATCCCGGATGAAACTTAATGTAACTCTTAGGGAAAACACAGCTGTCTTGAATCCAATCTATGGCATACATACCAAAGACAAATACAATAGAAGAATTTGTTTTGAAAATAATGCTCTTCATCGAGAGCACTTTGGAAGATCATGGTCTCCACTATAACCAACATTTTCTCCATTGTAACTAATCCAGAAGGAATTTTGAAAAAGGTAATAGAAATCACTCAGGTCATAAAAGATCTTATTTTTTAAAAATTTCAGATATATTCAAGACAGAAATCTATGCCAATTCAGGGAGCATCTGGTATTGCAACTTTTTCTTTAAAAGAATTTTTTTTTTTAAATGGAAAAGGGGAGAAGGAGAGAAAAAGATCTAACTATGCCCATGTACTTTCTGTGTAGCTGTCCACGTACTTTCCAAAAACCCTGTAATTACCTGAGCGCTCATCCCATTTGGTTTCCCTTTCAGTCCTATGACTAAGAGGAGAAAGAACTCTTTTCTAGTAATTTTCCATGCATGCCCAACCAACATGGGTCAACTGAAAATTGAAAACTTAGAACAATCATTATCGAGATATGACAGAATAGCATTCAAAAATAAGAAATTGGTCTTATTGTTTTGTTGATTTCTTAGTCACAATGTAGAAAAATCATACTCCTCTTTCCCATTCCCCCGAGTGAAAATAGATGCCGTTCAACATTTGACTATATTTCCCAGCTAGGAAATAAAAGATCAAAAGGAAATTTCAGTTCCTAGCATTTGAAAGATGGGAAAACAGATGTCTTATTTGGTTCAATCCCACCTGACTTCTGGCAGTGCAAAGCCCTTATACACAATGGGTCCATTTTCTATATAATTCTGGAAGTTAGATGCAGTAGAGATCTGGAAGTTCTTGTAGTCCTTTTTCTGGCCAAGGCAGCAGTGATACCAGCTGTTTGTTCCTGGATGTCTCTGCTAGAGTTAATCTGAAATGATGCAAGAAACAAGGCAGTCACCTTCATGTGCAATGATCCTCTTCTGTCCAGCACCTCTGCTAGGCAATCACCTTACAGATTTGAGTACCCTGTAAACCACAAAAAAAGTGGATTTATACCAGAGGTAAGTTTTTTGGAAATGATTCTATAGCGTTCAGTGTTCTCAGTGCGTGGGATTTTTCTCTTGGTTTGAGCACACTAAAAATGAAACCTTAATCAACAGCAGACCCTTCATGTTTCAAGTATGTCTATTTAAAATCAACTACAAAGGTAGACAATAATTTTGAATATAAATGAATTCTTTTACATTTAAAGAATCAAGATTTCTGAGAACAATCTTGTTCAGCTCCTGGTAGATATGTATAAACATGATCTGATCTGAGGAAAAAATGAAGTGTATTGCCAGCAAAGATAAATATTACAGCTTTAATCTACACTGCAAATTAAATATGTTATTAAAACCAGACTCTAGAGAATATATTTATTTTTGAAGTAGTCGTAGTAGAACAGTTTTCAGTCAGACTTTATCTTTACCAGCATCTTTGTCAGTACCAAGTATTTTAACTCCTCGATGACATGTTGCTGAGACTAAATAAACAGTAAACTTCGCATCCATGTAGAGAGAATTTTAGCTGGTTGCTGACACCAGATGCATAGTTTTTCATGTCTTCCAAACTGTAAAATTAGGACATTGATGTTTATCTTTAAAGTGGTGGGGTTTTTTTTGTTTTGTTTTGTTTTGTTTTGTTTTTTTCCTTTCTGCACCAGGATAAGAGTATTGAGAAAGCTGAGTGTTAGTCTCATGTTTTAATGAATATGAATCTTGTTCTAAAAGATTCACATAAAAAATAATGGGGGTCCTGGTATATTAAGTGCTTTTTAAGATATCTTTTTTTCGTGGAATAAAGAAATCTGGCCAACATACAAGAATGATAATTTTATAGGTAATTAAACTTTTTTTCCAATTACAGTGTGGGTTTTTTTTGTTTGGATTTATAAGTTATTGATTCCCAATAGACATTACTTTTCTAAAAGCGTTAATTTATCTACAGTCCCCCAGACAAATAAACAACTCACTGCAAAATCCATTTCTTCTTCTTCAGTTAACCAACAAATATTTAATAGACTAATTTATTTTTCTGTGATTTGCGTAGTGTCTAATGCTTTGTAATTCATGCTTTTAGTTTTAAATATTGATTGGCTGAGCTAAAGTTGTGAAATGTGTGCCTGTAAAATCATGCAACTTTGTGGACACATATATTCAAAATGAAACTTAAGCTTGCTCTATGAATTGGCACAGTGAAGTTAAGTAGGCATTATTAAGGTTTTTGTGTCAATCAAAACTGAAGCCTGGTTTATAATTTAAATCATTCCACCAAGGCATTGAAAATTGTTAGGATTTATTTATTTATAATGACCTGTTACTGTTGGACACAGAGACATTCCTGCACCAGCTTAAGCAGATAACTATGCCATTGAGGAATTTGCAGTGCATGCTTCAATGAAAGCTGACAGCAGACTACAGATGTAGAATATATGATTGGCTTTTAAAATTTCCATTGAAAGGAAATAGCAGAAATAAATAGAAATAATGCCATATGGCATTATGCTCATGATGGAGATTTCTTAACTAGACTAAATGTGAAATGTTCTTCACATGTCAATCATATCTGCTGGCATCTACATAAATTTGAATAAAGTATCTTGGGTTAACTTTTACTATCTTGCAAAACAATGAATGTTTCTGCACTCAATCTGTTCCAAGTTGCTCTAATGCTTCATTCCTGGTAATCAACAGAGGTCATGAGTCTGATTCTGCTTTCCCATGTGCTTTGTATAATTTTTAAAATTTCTAATACAAAGCGTGATGCAATTTAGTGTGATTCTGATCTGCATAGTTTGAATCCTTGAGTGCTGACCTTTAATGAGTAAAGATTTCAAGGAGTATCTAATGGTGACAGCAGTGTCACTAGATCCAGAAACTCACATGGTAGCAAAACCCTGACACTACAAGATCAAGATGTTAAAAAAGGTTGGGGATCATGGCTTGGTTTTCAAAACAAAAACAGAAAGAGAAGAAAGAGAATGTCGGTGGTGCACTCTTTCATGTGTGGTAAAAATGTATTGAATAAATAGGAGACCACAACAGATTTATACTCTGAGGTGTCAAAATAATACTGGAGAAACTCTATTCAGGACTCTTCTTGTGGCTCAGTCTCTGGTCACAGAACAGCAATTCACCCTACCATGGTCTTAGTGGGGTGAACACAACTCTTTTTCAATCAAGGACAAAAGTAAGGAAAAAAAAAAATTATGGCTGAGCTGTCATAAGGATCTGAGATCCTAGTATAGGAGACTATAGCTCTCATTACAGAGGTTTTCTCTCGGTGTACTGTCCTCCTTGTTGGTAGATGGAAGACCCTAGAATTGGTGATAAATCAGCACTTATATAAAATTTTTGATGCAATCATTCTAGTGATATATATATATATATATATATATATATATATATATATATTTTTTTTTAATCAATATATATATATATATATATTTTTTTTTTAACTAGATGTGGTCTTAACTTAGTCCTGGAGTTTTATCAGAATATATAATAAAAATCTTAGACATATGTTTCTCCTTTTGCCATGAATTTTAGCTGAAGTTTCCTGTGGCCTTTGTGAAATAAGTGAGAGAGGACTCTTGCAGACTGCACAATGTTAACCATGCTTTCTTTATGCCCAGTGACTGAAGCAGTCACTGAAACAGACTGGCAGAAAAGAAATAATATTCAGGATATTAAATCAGAGTCTTCACAGGTTATATAGCTACAGGATATTCTTACATGTAGATGCAGTGCTGAAATCCTGCACCATAATTGCGAAGAACTTGAGAGTTGGTGCTGCCTCTTTTACACATGAATGTATGGGTAAAGAGCACTCTAGTTATCCCACAGGAAGATACTTGCCAGCTGGGTGAATCTGAGACTTCTATTTTTTTTTCCTCCTTGCAGAGTGAGCATATATCCAACAGTTTTCAGAACTGAGTTCAAGGGACTTTTTTTTATCCTCAATGTTCCCACATTATATGAGTCACAAATCCTCCTGCACTAAGCAGACAAAACACTCACTTTCAGAGAAAAATTCTTTACATATTTTCTAAGATACACTGATTATGTAAGAATAGTCAGTATCCTTATTCCATCATTCTTAATTAACAGTTTAAAAGTGATCTGTAGTTTCTTATGTACAATGCTTAGGGATGTATGTCTGAAAACTGATTTCAAGTTCAGTATAAAATGTAAGGAGCTGAGATTGAAGTCACTATTTATAGAAGAAGCATTACAACTGAAGACATCACACAGGAATTGTTGATCATTGAAGATATGTTAATTCATGCACTTGCTGATTGGAAGAAAACGTATTTGAAGCTGCAGGTGTTGAAACTTTAATTTCAAATGGAAGAGTGAGAGAGAGCAGTGCACTGGGACAGTCCATTGGACAGGGAGATGCATCTTATACTTTTCATCCCAGGTGACCACTCAAAACACATTAAACAACTGTGACATTTCACCAATTGCCAGCCACATATCTAACAGCAGCAAAGCAGCAGCAGGAATTCCTGCAATCCTTCTTTCTTTTGTTTTAAACTATTAACTTTTGCAAAGAAATGTATACAGAGAAAAGATATGTCTACAGCCATTAGAACATTAAAAGGAAACATTGAATGATATTAATTTATAAATGTGTTGACAAAAGTATCGGGAAAATTCCTTTTTTCTTTATATGATGTGCATTGTCTTTTCCTGGTTTGTCTGGTGTTTGATTACCTTTGGCCATTTGAGGTATGGATAAATTTATTTACTTCATCCTTTAACTTTTGGTTAAGCCTTTGGTTTAGTCCTTTGGTTCTTTTCTGCTCTGTTAAAGCCATCAGTACAAAAGCTACTCATCTATGATGGTTTTTTAAAAGTATGAATAAAGTATCAATTTACAGAAAAAGAGTTTAAGGAATTATTCTGGTCGGGAAATTCAGGTTTTGTCATGTCATTTACATATCTGCCTTAAAGTTCTTAGTCTGTTGTTTTTCAGCTTTACTTGACTCCATGGAGCATTATAATGAGGGTGTATAAACAGAAAAGCTAAAACGTCAACAGAAAAATACTGGGTATAAAATATGGTTTCCGTTAATATCTGTTCATCTAGAACTTAATAATTCTCAAACCTGAATTGTATTTCTGTCTTGTTTCCAATCTAGC